GTAAATATTTCAAAGCAAAACGAAATATTTTTTAAATGTTATTTTCCAATTTGTAAATTTAAAGTCAGATATTATACGTTAACGAATTGGTTTTTCCACCGTTAAATTAAATTTTACAATTTGAACGTAAAATTAGTGTTGATGAAGTACCTTCAAGATAATTTGAGTCATTTATTCATTTTTTTCTAAATTAAACAGTTCTTGTATTTTTAATAGGGATAAATTTTAAATGCTTTTCGCTAAGTTTTTCAATATGCTAGTCGGGTTATCCGCAGTAAACAGTTTTCACTGAACGGTTACAATTTTAATATAAAATAATTGTATTCGATTGTGAGCATAGCTTGAATTTTGTTTGAAGTCACGATATCAAAATTAATGTTTATCTACCTATAACAATCAACATTAGCGTCCGCTTATGAATACAGCTTGTATTATTTGTACTATTACTAAATTTTCGGTCTCAAATTGTTTAAAACTTATATGAGCAGAAAATATTGACTTACCGGTGCGTCCAACGGGTACAATTGTAACAATGCCCTTTGTAGGACAGGGCTTCTTTTCCTCATGGTAAACTGAATTTTCAGCAGGCTTAAATCGCTTAACGCAAACAGATTTTTGAAAATCTCTAAAAGTGTAGTGTTTGTTTATCTGATTTTTAGTGCTATTATCAGCTTTCATTTTTCGGCTCAACGGGGGTTTACTTGCAGTTGTAGAAACAGTTCTCGCAATATTTTCCCTTGTTTGAACGACATTTTTATTAACTCCAGTTAATGTCGCATCTAGAGTGGGCGTAAACACATTTGGAAATAAAATATATAGCAAAGTGGACAGGAAGCAGATTAAAGTTATTATATTTAAGCAAACTACCGTTCTCAGAGACATGATTTTTAGGACTCGTATTGTAGGAAAACGACCGTAATTTTCACTGATATCTGGTTAAACTGTTTATTTCCTTAAAATGAAGGAACACCTTAAAATCATTTCTCTGCTGGTTTTTCCGAAGACGTTTCAAACTGCTTGCGGAAAATGAACTGAAACACTACTAATCATGAAGTCATATCCTTCAATCATGAAGTAATTTGTATTAAGCGTCTCCTTTTCACTCCGGAAAGTTAAAACTTTAATCAGAACCAGATAAACTATAATTGATGAGTCGGATTGCAATCGGGTTGATATCAGTCTCCACAGCGCCACAAGCCACTTCACCTTTAATTATCATTGTATAAATTTAATTTTATTAATTGTAAGTATCTAGCACATACATATAAACGAGCGTGATATTGCCCCTAAATCTCGGAAATTCACACTGATGTTGCTGATTCCGATTCGCAGAACATTCAATTTTATCGCAAACAATCAGATAAGTGATACCATACGCACTGGGCACACATTTTAATGAATGCAGCTAATTTTAATTGAATATAATTAAATCAATACACTTTGCGTGCCAAGACCACGTTTTTTCCTTTTAAAATAACGCCTATATAATAATAAATTATTTCATTGGTTGGTCGGTTTCTTCATTATGTTGATTTTTTTGACATGAAAACACTACTATTTGTATTAATGTTTAATTTTTTACAGATTTTTTATATTTTAATTCAATTTGAAACATTATTTTTATATTATATAAAAACTGCCAACATTTCTGGTTCATGCTTGTATCCATATTGTGTTAATTATCCCATAATATACTTTAAGTAAGCCTACTTCATATAGGTATAAAATTTGTTGCGCAAATTGTAAAACACATCAGCACGGAATTATTATTAGATTATATGTACATAGTTGTCTTAAACTCATTATATTACCTAATCAGTACAAGTACTTGTGTATCTGAGAACTATCGGTTGACTATGGTACCTACTAGTATAAATCTAGATATACGGCGGTTCTATCAATTGCAAAGCGGAACGTCTGCGAAAATATATCTGCTACAAAAGGTGCTAAAACATATTAGAATTCAAACTTATTATTTCTTTGTTGGATATTTTATTTAAGTTTTCGCTAAAGCCCTATACAATCTCAAATACAAATACAAACATATGTGATTTTTGACTGAATATCAAAAATAACAATTAATACCGGTGTCTACTGTGAATCGATTTCGCCATTTTTCCAAAGTAATTAATTAATATGAAATAAAATCTTCACAGCATCTTCTACAGAAAGTTAAAATTTGAAATTGCTATTTGGATCGGTTCGGATAATGTGAGTTTTTAAAAGAGTTTAATAAAAACAAATATTATAATCGAGCCCGATATTTACTGACTTTGATACCTATATTTGAAAGGCTGGAAAAAATTAGGATTTAAGAGATCGTTTTGAAACTTTTTGTGGAAAATTTGAGCATCTTTAGAATCATACATGTTTTCTAAAGATGGTGAAAAAACATCCAGTATGAGGCGAATATTTATTAATTTTGAGATCCACATTTACCAACTAGAAAAAATCAGGATTTTGAACAATTTTAATGAAACTGAGCTTTGTTAGACTCGAAAAATGGCGAAATTTTCGAATTGCTGCTTAATTTAGTTTGGAAGATGCGCATTTTTAAAAAAGGGAGCGTTAGGCGAGTAAAATGATTCACTATCAGACGAATATGTATTAATTGTTAAACCGATATTTACCAAGGTGATTTTCGGAAAATTAGGAGTGCGGACGAAACGTTCAGCATCTTTCGAGTCAAAGAAAGCGGAATTTTAAATTGCTACATAATAATAATAATAACTCGGAATATCATTTTGCAATGTGGGTTGTAGTCAAGTGACTTTTAAAGGAAGAGAATATTTCGAAGAATATGCTGCTAGTTTGTAAGATGCGCATTTTTAAAGAAGATAGCCTAGATGAGTAAAACATCCGTTATGAGACTAATATTGACACCCACATTTACCAAGCTGCAACATATTAGGATTTTTGACGATTTTTGTGAAACTTTCAGTATATATCTTTAGTCAAGTGTTTTCTAAAAAATAAATTAGCGGCATTTTAAGAAGCAGAGTCTCTTGTCTGATCAGCTAGAGCATGTTTTTTTCCATCCCTAAAGGGTGAATTTAGGCGATTTTGAAATCTTTGGTGTCTCTTTTCCCGCCGTTTACATCGAAAAAATCGGCTTTTACAGAGTTTCTTCTGGTGGCATTTTAAAGAGCACAGCCTCTTCTCTGATTGGCTACAAAATGGTGTTCCTACCCTTAGAGGGCGTATTTAGAAATTTTTTCAAATCTTTGGTGTCAGTTTTCCCGTCTTTTACATGCGAATTTTCAAATTACGGTAACGCCGAAAGTGGGGCGAGTAGAGGGTGTATTGTGGCGGCATTTTAAAGAGCACAGTTTCTTCCCTCATTGGCGACCAAATGGTCATCCCACCCTTAAAGGACAAATTCAGGCGATTTTTCAAAATCTCTAAGTTTGAAAGATGCGGATTTTTAGCTTTAGGCGGGACACCCTTTATATTGATTTATTAATGGTGCCATATAAGAGCAATGTTACATAGTACACATCTGCAAAAATGTTTTTTCTCCAACCTTGATCTTTAGTCTGCAATTTAAAACCGAGATCAACCGTTAAAAATTAAAATTCATGTAACATATACAAGCGCTCCCTTTTTCTATATTAAGGTGCACGCAGAGTTGCCTATAATCAGTAAGTTGTCATGTTTGTTTCTGAAAGTTGACCGGTTGACATAACAAATAGTTACTCCCACCATCCTCCCACTTTTCAAAAAGGAGGTTATTAACATTTTCATGAAATAAACAGTTACAGTCAAACAATTTCACGTTTTTTTGTGCGGTTTAGCAATGTCGTTTTTTCTTTGTTGTGTATTGTAGTGTAAACTCGAGACTGTACAATACGACACGGTGTTAGTGCCTTTTTGTCCTTCGTTTCAGTGACAGCTGTGCTAGGCGGTACCTTTCGCCCAGGAAAACGAACTCTATCCCCATGTTGTTAAAAGTTTACCCAGTTATGAGCAGTTATCATCATTGACGCCTCCAGTCTGCTCAGAGCCATGTCTAAGAACAATTTAATAAGTTCCAGAAGCATTTCTCCGGCCAGTTTTAATTCTCTCCGGTCTGATTCAGAGAAGTCCTTTGAAAATGGACTGGAGGACTCTTTAAAGCCCAAACTTAGGCCTTCATCTACTTCCCGGACTGCCAAAGCTAAACGAGTCAGGTTTGTACTCACTCAATTCGGGTCTTAGTCATTAAACTGTCTTTATAGCTAATGTGATACTATTACTTCAGTTGACGCACCTTTTGTTTATATTCAAAGTGCATTCGTTGTATGTGTTTATCAAACAGAACACGTAATGAAATATGTTAGGACTTGGCACTGAGATAGCCCTTCAGTGGGTTTATCAGCCAGCCACGGCCTAGACGTTTGCATCATAGCCTCTGAAGCTGCTTTACTTATCTTGATCAGTAGAATTAATCTAAGTGCCTCAAATGTTTACTTAGAATTCATCTCAATTGCCACACAGCTGTTGTAATTGCAGTTGTTTGGATGTTTGATATACCTATTAGTCAGAAGTGCATGGAGTTTTTAAAACAATCCACTTTTATTTGTTTGTTTCATATAGAGCAATACATGGCAATGATTACTATGTGTTGCCAGTTACAAGAATTGTTAGCACTTTTCGGGTTTATAACCCTTATTTCGTCTTTATATTATCGGATTTGCGGATCAACCGATATTATTTTTTAGAAACTATTATCTTCGTCATTGAAACTACACTACAGTTTTATAGTGGAATATTGAGTGCCAAGCTTATCTTTTTCAAACACATACTTAATTACTGTGCAATTGCAAGTAATAAGTAATTACTTAGTTATTACTTTGATGTTCCTTCTTCATCTTTACAATCTGTGATGAATGAACTTGAAAGAACCGAATTTTTATAAAAAAATAAACTTTTTCAACTGCTGTACTGAATGCCTGCCCATCTTCATCCTTCATTATCTGATGTTCGCCAGAACAGAGCTGATTTTATCTAAAACCTTCTTAACGGAAATTGTATGATACTGGATTCTGAATACACATATTCATGTTTACCGTATCTGATGTTCACCAAAACACTTTTTTTTAAACTATTGCTGATTTTCTAAAAAACAGCTGTTCTGAAAAAGCTATATTTATTTTTACATTATCTCTTGTTTGCATATACACATACAAATCTACTCTGCTGTTATACCTAATTTTATCTGTCTACTGTCCGAAACAACACAAAATTTATTTGCAAGATATTATTGTCAATTGACATTATAATAGCAGATTTAAAAAATCGAAAATTGAATGTAGCGGTTTCTCCAAACATTCCCAAATACTGACCAAATATTAATAATTTGCATTTCCGAGCAACAGACATGTAATAAGTAGCGTTTCTCATAAAAAAAATTATTTATTTATAAGTCTGTAGCTGCTGTAGTAGTTCATACTTAATTAATTAAGAAGTTAAAATACCTATCTGGGGTAATAAGTATCTGGGGAGACAACAGATATCAATTGTATCAAAAATATTCTTGAATAACAAGAAATATATATTTATTGCTATAATAAAATTGATATCAGTGTTTTCTTAGCGTCTCTTCGTATCAATATGTGCATTATAAGAAATAGCCATCCATATTTATTAAAATGCTAAACAATCGACAGACAAACAAAAGTTGAAGTAATAAATAGTAATTTAATATTCGATCCAACTTAAGCTCAGAAAAGCCGAAGCAAATAGATAATGCTAATACTGAGTGAAATATAAAACAAATTATTTAAATGCACGGTCGGAATAACATCGAACATTACACGAATTCCAGCAAATTCTTAGTACACGTTAGTACAAACGGTTTGTGAATAATAATAAGGAAACCTCAACGTTGTTAAATAATAGCACTTGTTCATAAATGTGTTTTAATTTGACAGATTTTTTCACAATGGAAATAAGTTTTTCAATGGAGTTGTTATACCTGTGGCCCCAGAAAGATACAGATCATTTGACAGCCTAACCAGTGAACTTACTAATTTAATTGGAAGAAATGTTACCCTTCCCAACGGAGTCCGACATGTATATTCGATGGATGGAAAAAAAGTAAGAGTATTTTAATTATCTGAAGATTTAAACGGTAAACAACAACTCGTAAATGTTTTAAACACACATCGTTAATTTCTCATTATTTAGTACTTAACTTTTTGTTTATTTTCCTCCACGAGTGGCATGTTATAACCGGAAATTGTTAGATTTACTGTTGTTTGTAAACACAATATCGCCGCTTGTATGTACGAACATTTTTAACTAAATTTTTTTAAATCAAGTGAATTTTTACTTGTTATCAAGTTTTAAAGTAATTACTCATTATTACTAATTTGAAAACAGTGTTTGTTTAATTTCGACCAAATTAATTCAGCCGACCTGGAGCGTATCGGTATTTAATCCCGTATTTTAAATGTTTATGCACTTGACTTTGTATGTATGTATTTCCCATTAAATCTCATCGGAATATGATTTACCGACGCGACTTTTAGTAGTATTATTACATGTAATTTACCATAAATATCTAAGTATATGTTGCTACTGATGGCACAAAGCCAATAACTTGCCTGAGAGTTTGCGACTAATATTTTTTTCTTACTTCGAATGAAAAAGTAAAACCACCATTATCTGCATATTTCGCCGGTTTATTATTATCTTCATTTATAAAATCTAGTGCAGTAAGTAAGTCACTAACAACTTTCTAGATAACAGTTAATTGTTCCTAGGTAAAATCCGATTATTTTTCGTGCATCACTACATATCGAGATCTTAAAGCGATGGTAATCACAGCTTTCATTAAGTCATGTATTGTAATGAGGAATCCTCCTAAAATAGTTGTGTGTATTTGTTTGCACTTCTAAGCGTAGAAACGATTGATCAAAAAGAAAGTAAATAAATACCAACCCAATTTCGCCTTGTAAATAAATACATAACAAAACACGCTGCTCAAAATAAACGGTTTATAGTCAACTATTCTGTGGAGTTATAAATACTGCCATCCGAATATTTAAATCTGACTGCTATTGAAAAAACAATACTGTTTGAATCTTATTAGTTCGGCCTGAGAAAATGTGGCAAATTGGTCTCAATTTTTTGTACAAAATGCTGTGATTACTGTTATACGGGGACGACTTGTTGACGCTTCACTGCTATAATTTTAAGCGGTAGCACGAATGTTCTTCAATTTGTGCAATTAAAGTATTACAATGTGATTCCTGTGGAAAACAGTTTTGAGTTTTAAATAATTGGATGGTTTATAATAATTAAGAAATGTATAAAAGTTGAATATTAAGAAGTATATTAGGCTGATTCAAAAGTACATTAATTTTAGGACCGTGTCTTACGTTCAAAAATAAGAAAAAAGTTTTTAAAATTCAAGGTGCAAAAGTTTGAATAGATTCAAATAGAGAATTTTGCTGTTTTTATAGAATATATAACATTTTTAGTTTTTAGTCGCCTAGTGTTGTCTAAATTTATGGAAAGCTTTGATTTGGGCCCGCGAACCCTAATGGTAATCCAGATATTCGGCTAAAATTTATTAAATTTTCCTCGTACACATAAATAGGCACTTGATTTGGGTTTTCAGTCAATTAAAAATGCAATTTTTTAACTTTTTTAATACAAGCGTTTCTTTGTTATAATTTGCTTTAAATCATTAAGTTATAGAGTGAAATACTTTTATGGAAAATTTGTTTTAAACAAACATTTCTTTTAAAATTCTACATACATTGTAGAATGCAATTAAAATATTGATGTTTTCACTAAATGAATCAAGGAAATTCATTTTAGGAAGCGACTTATAAATACCCTTAATTATTCACAATTTAATAATTTAAAAATGCCTGCAAATGTGTTCGGTGCATGCTGGCTGTTACAAAAATACGCATTTTCATGTGTTCACCATTGTTCGTGTCGTGTATTTATTTCCGCTCCTTTAATGTGAAAGTAATTTTTTTATATCGTATATCACACTATGTAAGCATGGTTTTAGCCGCATTCAACAAGTTTTGCCGTAAAAGGCCTTTAATTTGTATTTTAATATATAATATATAATTAATTTAGAGAAAAATTTGTTTTGTTGATGGTTTGAACCCCTACTTTGATCGTTTTAAAATTAAGTACAAACGTGATCTGTCTTTTATTTTTCATTTCATTATATGAAAAGTTATCGTAATAAATACGTGTTTTACCCAAATAATGTTACTTAGGTTGTAAATATAGAAGAATTGGAAGATGGCAAAGAATATGTGGTTAGTGGGAAAGGCGAGCCCTTCAAAAAAGTGGAGTATTCGAAAACGGATACTTTAAAAAGCAGAAAAGTCAATCGAAACAATAGTTCGATCTCCAGTATGCCCAGAATTCTACCGCCAGACTGTGTTCGGCCAAGAATTGTAACTATCATTAGACATGGAATTAAACCTAGAAAGGTATGGAAATTGATGATTTGTTATTAACTAGTTTACTAGTTAGTTTTCCATGAAGTCATAATTTTGTGTGTTCAGCTATAATTTTAAATTACTTTAAATTGTTACTATTTTCACTCAAAGTTACTTTACTTGGTGTAACAGAAATATAAAAAAATGCTAATTTTACTGTGTATAATAGTAATTAGATTGATATTATTTTTTAAAGATTTTACGACTTCTTCTGAATAAACGGAATTCTTCAAGTATGGAATCTGTGTTAAGTGCATTTTCAGAATTAGCGCAGTTGGCGGTTAGAAAAGTTTATACTTTATCAGGTAAGAAAATTGACATTTTTTAATGTAGAAACCATTATACGATATTAAAGACAAAGGGCCATAAAAGTATTTCACAATTGAAAATCGTTGAATTTTAATCTCAGAAAGTGTTGTTGTTATAAGTTCGTCATATCACATTCATCTAAGATTCATAGTGCGTAACGATTCGTCATAACACATCAAATATTTGAATAATCTTGTTTTTATTAATGTTTTAAATAAATTCATTTTAAGGTTTGCTTATACCTACGTACGATAAGCTTCGTAACATTTCTAAGGCTTCTGTTTGCATTATTAGGTCAACCAGTGACAGTACTTCCACATTTCTTCGAATCAGAGGATGTTTTCTTTATCTATGGGAATGAACGGCATAGTCTAGATGATTTTGAATTGGACTTCGAAGAAAGCAAGTCGATTCAGCAATATAAAAAGACTCCCTGTCTTCGAAATGGGTTTGTATTTCCTAGACGTATTGCTGATTGTTATTGGAATTCACCAACATTTAATAGTTTTAACGTAATTTCAATGAATTGCTGAATTGGTTATTTTAATATTTTTCTAAGTATATGGTTTAATGTAGTTTGATGTTGTTTCAGTACCGGTCCTAAACCTAAAATGCCTAAAAAAGAGAAAAATAGAACCTATGAATCTGAAGAGAGCTTATTGAGAAAATTAAGTTTAGATGAAAACATAAGTTTACCCCCCGGCATGAAGGGAAAATATACAATAGGAAGAATGATTGGGGATGGTAAGATTAAGATATAAGAATATTTTAGGCCATTCACATATCGATGTTTTTAAAATTGCAGGAAACTTTGCAGTTGTTCGGCTGTGTAGGCATGTTATTTCTGAGCACGAATATGCGTTAAAGATTATTGATAAAGCTAAGTGCAAAGGAAAGGTGGGTTTCAACCAGTCCGAGCATAATGCAATTTTTCGTACGTTTCTCGAATGATTTTTTTAGGAAGACATGATTGAAAACGAAGTAAAAATATTAAGAATGATCAGTCATTCCAATATTATCTCATTGGTTGAAGATCATGACACCAAACCTATGTTATATCTAGTCTGTGAATATGTTGCAGGTAAGTTTCGTTGCTTTCGCGCGAAAAGTACCCTGTTTAGTTCTTTTGTTGTTGACTTCTATTCGTTGAAATTTAACTTAAAAAATTGCAATTTGCTCTTTAAATAGTTGCTTAGAGGGTTTTTTTTCAATTAGTTTAAATATATATTTTGTGATTTTTAGGTGGAGATTTATTCGATGTGATAACAGTGGCTCAGAAATTCTCAGAAGAGCAAGCTGCATTAATGATTAAACATCTTACTTCTGGTCTAGCTTATTTACATAACTTGAACATTGTACATAGAGATATAAAACCTGAAAATTTACTGGTAATTTAAAACCATCTATCCGATTAAGAATTGATTTAAATAAAACTGGATGTATGGGTTTTAGGTGGAAATGGATAATGGTAAAGTAAAATGTCTGAAATTGGGTGATTTTGGCTTAGCCTGCGAAGTAACTGGTCCACTTTACACTGTCTGTGGAACGCCTACTTATGTAGCTCCAGAAATATTAGCTGAAAGTGGATATGGTCTTAAAGTAAGATGTTATCATAGATTCTTACCAATCATTCAACATTCACATTTCCTTTTCAGATTGACGTATGGGCAGCTGGCGTTATTTTATACATATTACTTTGTGGTTATCCTCCTTTTGCCAGTCAAGACAACGATCAGGAAAAACTGTTCGATTGCATTCTATCAGGTAAAACCATAATGCCAAATGATTACTATTTGACTTCATATCTGCATTTTCAGGACAATATGATTTTCCGGACGAGTTTTGGCAAGATGTCTCCATGCAGGCCAAGGAATTAATTTACAACATGCTTCAATTGTTGCCTGAACTCCGCTTTTCTGCGGAAGACGTTTTGGACCATCCCTGGCTGAAATTGGCAAATTAGAAGGCTTGACCTTTAGACTGGCGATAGAACTTGTCTTTTTAAAGGTAAGTGAAGAAGCTGCACTTGTGTGCCCGCAAAACAAACTATGCGGATATTTTTTACAATTTCGATCATGTGTTATGAAAACTCATTTAGCAATCGAATTTAAATGTTGAATTTGTTTCAGCATTGATAGGACACTAACGGTAATTTAACGAGGTAAATGTAAACATTTCCGGTAATTGAGTTATTCAAAGAAAAAATCCGCCCAGCAGCTTAAGTAACTTATAGGGCTACGCGTTTTGTAGGTTTTACAAGACTAGGATTGAGAGCGAGTATAATTGTAGCAATTGAACTCGGCTTGTTTTGATACTGTTATGAGCAGTACTAACTGCTTCTTTTATTCACTAGGCTGTTCAAATTAGCACAGTGACTTGTATTTTATGCGCTAATAAATCACTCAGCTAATTGTTGATACGATTTTCAACAATATTTTAATACTAGTTGTATGCTTTATTGACAAGTACGTGCTTTGATGCCTAATAATTCGATAGAAGGTATTTGCTACACGTTAAGTTCGATTTTATTTTCGGATATTTTTTAGCAGATTTATTGTACCTTTCTCATAAGCGTTGCATTTATCCGCATACTAACTAAATCCAGGGTTTCATTTCTGTCTAATTTCTTACTGTTCAAAAAGACGTTCTGTATTTAACTTTGGTGTGGCGAGAATAAATTCTCGCCACAGAATTTACCGTTTCAAGATATTCAAGATATTTTATACTGGATTGTTTCGGAGAACTAAAGAAGAATATCGAGTTCCGTTATTTAAAGGCACTTATTAATTTAACATGACAAATATTTTGGTTGCTTGAACATAGTATTATAACCGTTCATCAAAGTAAGGCGACTCGAACAATTATTTTTACTGTTTACAATATCACTTTAATATCTAATTTATTACTTATCCTACTCGTTTTGTTACTATATTGCCTGATCCCTGTGTATCATTAATTTAATCAAATCAATATTCTCGCGCTTAATCAAAATTATCGAAACACCTTTGTATTCATTAGTGCATAAATGAGCCTGTTTAATCAAATTATGAAGATGTTTGTTAATGAGAATGAACTGACCGTGAAACTAAAAACTAAAGGAATATTTCTGTACTATAAAATGAGTTTTGATTGATGGCTGTTTACGAATGTATCGTGTAATGTGTATTTATTAAACAGGGATGGATGCAAATTTTTGTACAACATTTGTAATTGTTCCTTAGGCATATTTTTTTTATATTGTTTTAATAGAATGTAAATATTTTCCGAGCGTTTCATTCCTTTCATCAGATTATGAGTTCAGGACTCGTTTGATACTCCTTGAACAGCTGCCAGGACTGCTGATTGTGATGTGATGGTGAGTACTATGTTGGTAGTGGTAGTGATAATAAAACTGTGTCTTTTTTAGTATTTTTTATTGTACATTAAAAAAAGAAATAAATACGATCATAATAATGTAAGTGCTAAAAATATACAGTAAAATTTAGACTGTCTCACAAATGATTGTGTGGTATAATTTCATATTATTAATTTTTATTATGTTCCTTGTTTCATTACCAATAGTAATATTAAACGTTAGAATTAATATTATTTGCTTCCTCGAGCCAAGAATATATTTAGACAAATGTAAAAAATTATTTTAAAAATACTTATCTAAATTACCTAGATGTTTTTTCTGACGGATTTAGTGTACATTAGCACATAATAATATAAAGAGATTCAGTTAAATATTTGCTTAAGCAATTGGTTTATCATTGTTTATTAATAGAACTAGGGTTTGCAAATATGGGGATAATCAAGCAAATTTTACAAATATATCATCAAATAAAAATTACATCACTCACTATAGTTCTAAAATTTGCTTACCATCAGCCATATGACTATATAATATTATATATCAGCTATCCAAACTCGAAATATTGATTCAGGTACATTTTCTTTTCAAGCCCATTCTATTGATACTATCCTTTTACAAACGCTCCAAACCCAGTAATGGCAGTTGGCAACCTTTTCATTCTGATCATACCATTTTTGCAATTATTCTCTGAACAAAACAACGTTCTTCATAGTAATGACTAAATAAGCCCACATTGGTTTATTAGTAATTTTGATCAGAGCATTGCTATTGAAGCTAGTTTACATACATATAGCTTCTTAATACTAGAGCTACAAAGACTTTTTCCATGTATATGCCTGACGTGATTTAATAATGTTAGTAAAATTTCACGACGCGACGATACTGAGCAGGTGAGATACAATATGAGCAGAGTTAAGAACAGTGAGAGAATCAGTTGATTAAAACGGCTTTAGTCACTTTTAATAAAACAAACTTACATTGTTATTAATCGTATTTGAAATGGTACAATATAATAATTGTTTGAATTGAATATAAATAGTAGAGCAAACAATAATGTATGTAGTAAATGAACGTAATCATTGTTTGACAAAATATAATAATTATTGATGTAACATGTAAAAAAGTCGCCACAAAACGAACTAGCAAAATTATATCCACCTGCTAATAATATCGAGCAAATGTTTACTTTTACGACTCTTATAACGTTAATGAATAATTAATTTTGATCAAACAAAAGGACATAATACACCCACCCAAATTTATAGAAAACACATCACTTATCAACTAAACCGAAATGTATGATAAAGTTTTTGTTTATGTAAAACGCAATGGGGGAAATGAACTGATTATTATCCATGGGAATGGTTTTTTGTCTGATCTGTCTCAACACATTGTAAGATAATTTCATTCAAACAGTAGACATTTTGAACCAGTTAAAAACTACTTGAACAAGTTGTGAAAAATCAGCTCTATTAAAAGGTTTAACCAGTTACATTATTTTACAGTTTCTTGTTGATTTGGTCTTCAACCGATTCAAAGATCTTAAAGTATGTGGTAGCGTATGAACACTGTACCTGTTCTAACAAAATTTTGTTAAACTTTTATGCAAGCTTGCTGACGAGACTAACCACCATTTAAATCTTTTAAATCCACCAATAAATCTATCATACATTTCTAACTTTTATGTAATAAAAACAGTTTTTATTTATATTAATTCTATACGCAGACAATAATCTACTATTACTAAATGTGACAATTTTTTGTGATGTTATATAGTAATATCATTACATTGAAGTACGCATTTATTTATGTATAATTGTTATCCACGTGCAATTTCCCAAAATTATCAAATCGTAATTCACACTTCGAATTATTGCACAACAGTTTTTCTTTTAATTTCAATCGTTGAAAGGCATCTCAAAGCAGATGGCTTAGTTTAAAGATATTTTATACCGAAATTATATTTGTAAGTACGATAATACGAAACCCATAGATATGCAATGTTCGTGAGAATTTGTAGAATCTATTTGAAGACCGGCTCAAATATTTTGCAACAAAAATTGTAAATATTGTGAAAGACAATGTTATTTATGTTCAACAAGCAGCATTTCATCTTAAAGAATATGTTGCAGGTAAACATTATAAAATATTCTTTTACAGATTTAATTTATTTGCATATTTATAAAGGTGGTATTACGCCATACATATTACCATCTCGAAGAAAGCACAACAAATAAACTACATTTTTTTAAGTAACAAACCTTATTATTACAGGAACTATATTTTCTATGGCTGCCTTCGATTCAGACTAAACATATTGGCGGTTTAGTCAAAAATACCAATAACAGTACTAATTGTTTGAAGAAGTGAATTCCATCTGCTATCAAATATTCTATAAATTTAATTTCTTAACATCGTTACGAATTTCAATTGTTATTGAAGTGATGCAAACAAACGACACTGCATAGAATATTTGACTAAACTTATTCCCATGACATCTGGATGTATAAAAAATTACATAGGTACAAGTAAAAAGGACCAACATAACTATAAACAAAACTGTTGTATATAAAAAATTATTTTTAAATAAACGAAATATAGTAAATATGAAAGACTAATAACTTTTAAATAATTATGGTACAAAACAATAAAAATTAATTATTTACAAATATATATTAGTAAATATATCTAGACTAACTTGTAATGGAGTTGCCAGGGCGTTGAGCCAGTGTATTTGTTAAACATGTAATATTTAATTAGTTAATGGACAAAATTCGAACAAAAACTAAATATTACAATAATAACACCCACATGAATTAATTTAAATTAGTACTACCGAGTCATGCCTTTTGCCAACATATTAATAAAATGTATCATCAAATAGAAAAAATGTTCGCAAACGAGTAAATAATCTTTCTATAATTAAATTGTTAAAACTTACTGTTGTTAAACGATAAAATCCGCAAAAGTCAACCAAAAAGCACGACCGCTATTAGAATATTGTTTAATAAATATGCTCAATATGCCATATATTCAAATAATCCTCGCAAATAACCGCAAAATAATTCCAATAAGAAACAAACTGCTATGAAAACTAAGGAACAAAAACATTGTATATACGCTACATACGTTTAGACAAAAATCCGATCATTTATATACGGCTTAGAACAGTAAGCTGCCCAAATATGGTGTTGAAATCACGTAAAAGCGTATTGGTTTAACTGCCCTTTAAAATTCAATATAAATAAGAGAGCGTTTCTCTGCTGCCTATTGGTGAGCTTTGAGAACAAACGTAGAACCGCGTTCTTAAAAGTCGTATATAATTGAAGAATATAGATAGAAAATTATCCATATACCTTTTAAAAAAATGTAAACCTTGTTTTGTACCGTTTCTAGTAATATAGAAACGATTTCAAGTCCAGCTTTGGTGTGGGATTCACGAAATATTTTACAAATCAGCCTAAAGTTATTAAGAATAATTTAGAGTCAACGTATAGAAAATGGAGATATTTTATCACTTTAAAACACTACTCTTTCGACCCATACTATCTGGTCGATTCACTTTGAACGCTGCTGTTCTCTTTCGCTGTTGACTTGGAGGAAAGCTTTAAAACTACACAAGTTACTGCCTCTTCTACATTGTCGAAAACAGGAACATCTCTACGTTCTGCTAAATCTCTCAAATATGTACGCGCACGGTTGTAGTCTTTGATTGCGATTTTAGTGAGCTAGAAATAATACATAGTCGTCTTTAAGATAAGAATTGTTTCCTCAATATAAACAATGTATTATGTTCAGTAAACTCCCAAAAAATCTGTAGATATGCTAACTATTTAGGAAGGGGCTTGTAAACATTTACTTGATCTTAATGAAAGTAAACCAGATTCCCACTTATTATATTAAAAAAGAAAAAACAAATCGACAAAGTTTCTACAATTTTGAACATGAGAATAAAAAAACCACATTCAGATCTTTTTCTTTAAAAAATAATTTGTACTACAGTACTCACAGTTTCATTGGCCACCACGCAGTGTTCGCTATTCAGCTGTTCCATGCTTAAAATAACATTCTTTCCTATGCCGATATAATGCGCCGCTAGGATCATGCTGGTTAATGACCGGGTATCATTTGTGATGACGAATAAGGCTACTTCACACGCACTAATTTCATCTTTCCATTCTGAGACGTTGGTTTGCAATACTCCCGATTCCTGTTCGTTGTAACTATTTGATGTTGGATGTTCTGATTCCCTGTAGGACAACACAGAAGTGGTTCTTTAGCGATTTATAAGTTATATTCGTTCAATTATCTTTGAGAAATTGAGGAGACCATTACCTACCTAATAGCTGGATTATAATATTGAAGATTATTTGCCTTTAACAAAGGTATGGCAATGGATTCTCGCCACTTTGTGCCTGTAGACAGACTGCCGCCTAAATACACATCATATCGATGCTCTTGAACGAAGGCAAGTGATGATGGTTCCTGTGATGGATTGTTTGCACAAGTGGAATGGTTCTGGGTTGGTCCGCATTGCGTCTGTTGATTTCTGGTAAAAGTTTGTGATGCCCATGCTGAAACATGTTTTTTACTGTAGAATTCAGGAACTTAAATCCGATGGATTGTAAAGACGTAGATTTACCCGGATAACTTTTACAAGAAAATAAAATAAAAGTGTTTTGCTTAGCAGGATATTAATTTAACGGAATAACAAATACCATGCGACAAAAGGCAATATTATTCCTAATGTGACTAAAAAAATACAGGATGTCCAACTTTCATTGCGTAATTCAAACATACGCTGTAGAATAATTAAACACCTTGTTACGYATGACAAAGCGCATTTTTGAATATCGCAGAGATCACAACAATATCCAAATTGGATCRRGCCTCGAAAGCGTATTATTCCATTGGCGATAGGCGTATAACTTTGTTGTTTTTGGGAAATAAATGACTYCTAAAAGTATTGAAATTATGACTAGAAAAATGTATCTATATTGTATAAGGYAATGCAATTAAATTTAYTCAAATTATAAGATTTTCTTTAGGCATAATASACATTTTTCAAGTTAAACATTCGAAAAACCTTCATATTATAAAAAATGCAATTGTTCTACACCTGAAATCAGGACAAAAAGATCTTTAGTAACAAAACCGGTCAATAAACATATGCTTTTTCTTTTTCATATACGAGGAGATAGATTTAATTGATAGAGTTGTTCCTCAGCTAACTTTATAATTTTTTAAGCTTTCTGATTCTGAAAAAACTAATTAAAAGTTCGGACATCTTGTTTTCATATACAGTGAGTGGCAAATGAACAATACATTTATAGTGTGGTTTGAAACATATTAATTAATTCAAACCATATTTTTTAAGTTATTTTTCATGCTAGTTTTTTTATTGCAAAATTTGCAGGTAACAAAAAAGTTAGTGTTTATAAAAGTTTTATACGTAATATCAATGTAGTCGATACATTAAAATTAGAACAATCTTTGTTAACAGAGATATATATTAATTATAAACGGGTTATACAAAGTGTTGTGTAAAAGACACGGCACTATTAAAGGGGGTGATTTCTTTGATCATTTTGTGAAAAATAGCTCGTTGTTAGATAAATGAACATGCAAGACATAGTTTTTATTTTTATCTTGTAAACCATACAGAAAACGACAAAATTTCAAGAGACAAAAAGTTCTACTATTGTTTGCTTATTCTAGGAAAATATTGAAATTATCAATCGTACATTATTTTGTCAATTATTTTCGTAATTGTGTTAGACACCACTTGTCTTAATAAGCTACCAAAGCTTGAAAAAATCGGCCAAAATATACCTACTAAGATAATTTTTCAAAAAGCGCAGCCGAAACATTTCCGGCTTCATGTGATGATCTATGAAATCGCCGGCTTGGATATTTAAGAATATTAAGTTCTATCCAAGTGCAAGATATTTTAGGTTTTTTATATTGGCAATTATTAGAAATGAAAGAGAATGGAAGAGATATAAAAAACAATATAAATAGTAACTTTTTTGTATAAATCACGACTGGCATCAGCACTATGTATTAAGCTGTAAAAGCAAAATATAAACGTGACATAGCGGAGAACTTATAAGAGGAGAACAACTCAAGAGTGAATGGAAAAAATTGTAAACTAAAATGGCAGTAACGCTGAAAGTGCTTTGAAAGTACCTAAAACGCTGGTTAAAGGTTGAAGAACCATACTTCTAACCATATACTTGGTCTTCAAAAGAGCACAAGACCAGTATAAAGGCCTAATGTAATCTCTTCCTAAAAGAAGAAAACTACGTAACAGTTTTGTAAACTAGTTGCGTTATTGAAACACGCTTTTGTCTATTGGGAATGTGAAAATTTACTGCCTGGGACCTACTACTGTTTTGTAAAAGCATATTCCAATTTCAAATGTGCCATATATTATACAATTGTGCATTGATTAATTATATATAATACATATACCAATTCTTTACACGTTAAGAATTATTATTAATTGCCTGGAGCACTTACCTTCAATATTGCACATTCCGCATCCATTAGTACTCAGTTCGGCCATAATGGTGCAAAACTTCTCGAAACTCAACGTAGTTTCTTCAGACGTGCTATTTCCAACTCCGTTATGTGTGCTGCTGCCATTTTGCAAGTTGAAGTAGTTGTAAAGTTTGGAAATTTCCAGAGATTGATTGGTCAAGCGCCGGTAGGCGTCAATCACATCGAACATATGCATGTGACCGTTGTAGCTATCATAGACTTCACGCAATCGTCTGCAGAAAAAAATATCGCTTTTAACGTTTTTTTCCAGATTATTTCTCGAAAGATGTGAGTTGCCTCACTTTGATAAGGGAATAATTTCGTCCTTAAACGATTTTTGGATGCAAAAGTTATTCGGAGCGCTTGAAAACAGCACTCAAAAATTAAAGTATAATTTCGTTCAAGTAGTAGACCATTTTGTAGATAAGTTCTATATTGATGAGGCGGATTCATTTTTTTACAAACTTCTTTTTGGGTATTTCAATAATTCAAATTAATAATAATATAATTAATTAAATAATTCAATTTGCACAGACGAATTATCAGAGCGAATTTTCATATATTGTATTATCCTAGTATTGTTACACAATTTATTAACATACTCGTTTTTAGGTTCATTTAGGTTCTTTTGATAACGATAGCAGAAAATAGCTATCGAAACGTCAAGGTAA